CCCTTCTGGATGAAGCCGCGTTGGATTGGGAAGAGGACCCTGCGTCATTCCAGGATCTCTTTGGGAAACTGGTCGTTCACGCTGAAGTCCGTTCCTTTTAATTCCCTGCCGTGGCTTTTCACCTGTTCCTTTTGTTTGAAGTGGCCGAATGTGGCCACAATAGGACGTGGTCTCCCGGCCGCTGCCCGCATGGGGCCGATGCGATGCACCCTATCAAAGGCGATGTTCTTCACCGTGTCCTCCGGCAGCTTCAGGTGGGTTTTGATGAAGCTTTTTACCATAGTCTCCGCGTCTTCTCCAGCGGCTTCTGGAATACCAGAAAATACGAGATTATCTCGCATGCCACGAGCTTGTAGATCAATAACTGTTTCTTTTATTTTTTTATTTTCTCTATTTAGCTGGGTAACATTGTCTGTGAGACATTTCACCGACTCCCTTAGCGTGGCATTTTCAGCAGCGAGCGTTTCCACCTGCTGCTGGCTGAACTCCAGGGATTCTCGCAAGGATTTAAATTCCCGGTGAAGAATCTCCACCAAGGACAGCCTTTCATCGAAACTGGACAATCGTTGGTCGATTGACTCCAATATGTCGACAATATCTTTGCTGGCTGGCGATGTTGTGCCGGGGGAATCTGCAGGGTGAAGTCTTTTTGACGACGGCGTGTCAGGTTTGGCCGGGGAAGCTGCACTCTGGACCTTCTTCATCATGAGATACTGGAAGCACTGATCAATGCAATCTTGGAGATCCTCTAAACTCTCCCCGTTGTTCTCCAGGGTGTTGGAGATGATTTAGACAAATGTTGTTAGTTATAAGACAATTGATAAGTGTATTTGGTAATACTGAAATGTAAACTACCATTCGCTTTAATCTCCGGCGTCTGATGTCAGTTACAACAGTCAGCTTGATGTCAGCTTACCTTGTCCGTCACTTTCATCACTTACCTCTGACTCCGTCACTTACCTCTGACTCTGACCCTCCTTTCAGTCTGGTTTTAAACATCTACATTCCACTGAAACAGCACTTTTACGTGTTTTTAACGATATCTTTTTAGCTACTGATTGTGAAAGTTCCGTGATCCTTGTGCTTTTAGATCTTACTGCAGCGTTTGACACTGTTGACCACAATATTCTTATCTCTCGTTTGAAACACCTGGTTGGCATTAAAGGTGCAGCACTGCATCTGCTTCACTCATATTTGAGTGAAAGAACGTTTAGTGTTAAAGTTGAAAATTTTGAGTCCACCTCAGCCCCCCTTCCTTGTGGGGTGCCCCAGGGATCAATCCTTGGCCCTCTTCTTCTTTTATTATACCTGCTCCCTTTGGGGTCTATTTTTAGAAAACACGAAATATCCTTTCACTGCTACGCAGACGACTGCCAAATTTATTTGCCTTTAGCACCAAATGGCCCAGGCTCCATCCAAATCCTTTTGAACTGCCTTGAAGATATCAAAGCTTGGATGGCTCTGAACTTTTGGAGTTTCAATGAGAGTAAAACGGAGGTGATTGTATTTAGACCTAAAAATATTTCATGCAGCCTGCTCGTAAATTGTGGTTGGCTAGGGTCTTATATCAAGCAGCATGTGACAAACTTGGGAGTCATTATGGACGCAAATTTAAATTGGACAAACATATTAGTTCAGCGTTGCAAAAAGGCTTTTTCCAACTGAGGCAAATAGCTAAGCTGAAGCCAGTTTTGTCAAGACGTGACATGGAGAAGGTAATACATGCCTTTATTTCAACATGGCTTGACTACTGTAATGCACTGTTTTTTAGAGTCAGCCAACGATCTCTTGCTCGTCTTCAGCTCATTCAAAATGCCGCTGCCCGCCTCTTAACTGATACCCACAGCTATGAACATGTAACATCTATCCTGTCTTCTCTTCATTGGCTTCCTGTTCATCACAGAATTAATATCAAAGTCCTAATACTGGTTTATAAATGCCTTAATGCTGAAGTAACTCGGAAATGTATGGGGGATCTTGCTCCCCCATACATTTCCAAGTTACTTCAGCCTTATATTCCTTCACGGACCCTTAGATCAGCTGACCAGCTGCTGTTGGTTGTCCCAAAATCAAGGCTTAAACGTAGAAGAGAACGAGCCTTTTCAGTTATGGCCCCAAATCTTTGGAATATGCTGCCTTTAAATATTAGACAGGCATCTTCGTTTCCTGTTTTTAAAATACTTTTGAAAACACACCTTTTTTCGATAGCGTTCAGACTGGCTTGAGTTGATATGGTTTTTGAGTGTCAGTGGTTGTATTTTGTGTTTTACCCTGTGTTTCTGTACAGCACTTTGGGCAAACTTTTTGCTTTTAAACGTGCTATATAAATAAACTGGATGGATTTGGATTTGAATAATTGTTGATGTAGGTTACAAATAAGTCTTCTATTGATTTGAATTGAATTCGTTGTGCTATGCTGCTTTGTTCACTGTGGCTTTGCGGGCTAATGCTTGATGTATTTTGTAGGAAAACCAGCCTACAAAATGCTGGAATGCGATCCAGACTGGGCACCCTCTATCAACCTGGGACATACCGAGTTTAAAGCTGCTACCACAGCGAGATTTGATCGGTTAAGAGAGAGAGAGAGTGATATCAAAACAGCCACAAAAAGTCCCGCATATATGTGCCCAAGTGTTGTATTGAAGCAATCAAGTGATGAATAACTGTTTTCCAGTATGTTGTTTTGAAATGATTATTTTTGTTTGGTTGGTTTTTTTGCATTGTTGATTTGTTTTTCACTGAAGCAGCTAATACAGCATAATGGAATACAATTTGGCATCTTTCTTGTAAGATTCTATAATAGAACGAAACAATAATGCCAGTTATAAATAAAGACAAATGTAATGAATTATGAAACACTTATTTTAGCAGACTAACATGTGAGCTGGAGTGAGCTGGAGTGTTCTGGAACGTTATATTTGGTCTTCGAATGGCTGCAATCCAGGCCATCCATCGCCTCTTTGTTACCTCGGAAACATGGCTTGAACAATTTCTCTTCCACAACAGAATCCGATAAAAACCGCTTGCCACTTGTACCTACAATCCTTTGCGGTTTTACCCCGGAAATGACGTCACATTTTCAATCTGTATTGGATCTGAAAATTAACAACAGCAGTGAAATGGAATAGTCCAAATTACCAAAGTAAACTGGACCTGGGCTTGTTGCAGGGATCTGAAGTTACTAAACATTTTGTGAGTGTATGCACTCACACTTAGGACCATATAATAATAAGTATGTGCGTGATGAAAGTTGGGCAGCACGCTAACGTCTTTACTCCACTCTGTATGCTCGTATGGGTCTAAGCCTTTCACTCCTTTGATTTTTTTTCCTCATAATTTTTTTTTGCCTTTTTGTCACGTCTGTCTTTGTACGGACCTGCCGTGTTCTCCTTCGTTTTGTACATAACTGTTTTTAAATAAAATGCAAGTAGGGATTAAAACCGCAGAATTAATGATTACCGGTGCTGGAAATGCTAGCGATTGATGCAGTGTTTTGATTTTGCTGCCACTCGTACCTACAATGCAATGCGCAAAAGTAATGTGGTCTGTCGATCTCTATTAACCTAACCCCAGTGAAAGTAGGCTCACAAAGGCTCTGGACCCAGAGAGAACCCACACAGAAAAGTCAGATGGTGGATTCAAACTCAGGGCTTTCTCGCTGTGAGGCCACAGTGCTAACCACTGCTTCACCCTGATGCCCTTGCCACCACCCTTTGTTCTGCAAATTCCTGTTTTTCCTTAACTGTGAACCTTGTCGCATCAAGGAACAGCACAGCCCTCATTCTAGCCTTCTGTTTCTGTTTGCCTTGTTCTTACATGAAGAGAATAACTAAGGCTCATTATTAGCACTCCTCAGGGCTGAAAGTCTTTAGATGTGTCTCATGACACATCTACACATTCAAAACCACCTGCTGCTTCCTTCCATTGCCGTAACTGTTAACTCAACTTTCTTCAAACATAGGAAAAACACATAGTGTAGTCATCACAAAGGCTCTGAATCTCTCTGTGACCTCCGGATAAAAACGAGGCAAAGTGTGTTTGTTGAATCAGGGGAGAGTACGTGGGAATTGAGGGCAGATGAGAGGTCCCGTTTATAGCGATGCTGCCTCTCTGTCTGCAGCCAAATAGCTGCCTACACAAGCACTGCATCCTTCCCCTAAGCGGCTGACCTCCTCTCTGCTCCCACTCCTCAAATGGCAGCAAAGTCATGCAGGGAAATCTACCATCCACTTCCAGCACAGAGTTTGATCAGACATTCTTCTTCTAAACTTGTAAAAGTAGTGAAGTTAGAATGCAGAATTGTGCCAAATTTGAATTGCAATCTTTTTTTTAAACTGCTTTGACAATTTAGCTAGTCTATTTTCAGAAGTATTCTTTCATTATTCTCCTTGGAGAATTAGACTATGAAGACTGCATAAATCACCTGCATATGTCGTTTTTTTGCTGGCCTAACTGCACGAAACTTTGGAGCATCTTATCTTATTTTTCAAAGAAGAAGAAGAAATTAAATGAAATCACACCAAGTCCACCACGTCACTGGTGAAACATCTAGCTTTAGAGATCATGCCAGGGTTACAATTTGGGGTAGAACCAAATACCTTTATCTCTTAATATAAAGTCCCTTGAGAGTGCTTTTTGTTGTGTACTGGGGGTATTTAAAAAAAAATTTATATAATTAAATTTTATATTTTCAGAAAAGTAATTTACAGGAGAAAAATGTAATGCTCACACATATACGATAATAATAATAATTATAATTATAATCATAATTACAATATATAATAATATGTGTATATATAATAATAATAATATAGAAATACTGTATAAACTACTAAGGCTGGATACTGTATATCCCAAGATAACATAAATGAAATGCATCGCCAGCTTTGGTTTAAAATGAGCTCCTTGGCTAAATAAGTACTGATATTAAACTGCTCTTTTTTTTTATCTCTCACTTTCTCCCATTTTCAAGTTCACTTTTTTTTTTCTTTCTTTTACAGTTCTCAGCATCCATAAGCGTCCAGTAAGGGGTCATGGAGGCATCAGCTTTCCTATGAAGAGCTGGAAGTGCATGGTGGACTGGGCTCTCAGCCCTGAGAACAAGGTCAACATTTCTAACAACATCCTGTCTACTGGCAAGCCAGGTGAGAGCTGTCAGAATAAGAAGTTAGCAGAAATATGAAAATAACATTCTAAACATAATCACCAAATACTGATTGCACGGAGCTTGGCTTCTGATTGACAATTCAGGAACACACGCTTGAATCTGTGAATGTTTGTGTTTGTTTGTTTGGTTGGGCAGGAGCTGTCAAGATACAAAGGCAAAATGGGGAACAGCAGTTGATTTATAAAACCGTGTTTACTGCCATTAATCTGCAAAGCAAAGCACCCTGCTCAGACAAATGCATGCGGAGATGCTCGTATTTAATGTCGCAAATAAAACATGCAGGAGAATAAAATCAGTTTTACAGCTGTACAACAAAAAGTCACATTGTCTTCAATCAGGCCTGAGTAAGTTTCATAAAATGTTAATACAGAGCCCATCTGCTTTAACAATGTGATGGCACTGAATCACAAGCAGGAGCATTTACATACTGACTTGTGTCTTATAGTAAAAGGGAATTACACAACACTGGTTTTGGAGGAGGGAGGCACCATGACAAAGAAAATGAGCAAATTATGTGTGTGTGAAATACATAATGTGTTTATATGATAGATATTTGCCTTGAGTCATTTTATCTTAAATTATAAAATAGGTCATTAACATTTATGAAAATGATTAATCAATACAGGGCCTAGTGCCATATAACCCACAACTAGAGCTTAATTTAGCAATATTTTCTTCATTTCAGTCAACGTTTGCAGTATCCCAGAGCAAACGGAGCTTGTGAAGTTGTAGTTCCATGACCTCTGACACCAAAACTCAGCTGCCAAGCAAACAGAGAGGAAAATAGTGATCCTTAGCCTTTAGAAATAATGTTCCTAAGAGGTTGTAAAGGGTTTCCATCTGGAAAAAAATAGGAGACGCCAGAGACATAAAGGACATAAATCAACACTATGGTGACTGTGGTTCAGGAGGTAGCCGTATTGCCTGCTATTTGTAAGACAACCCATCAATATTTTAGAGTATCGAGATTCTAAACCCTGATTTGCCTTGTCAAAGCTTTTAGGCTTAGAATAAAAGAGCTGTATGAATGTCTGTGAATGGGTGAATGAGGCTTGTAGTAAAAAGCACTTTGAGCGCTCAAATAGTAAAAAAGCAAAAATACCAGTCCATTTTTTAAAAAACATTTTAAGTTTTTAATCATATTTTTCTGTTGATTCTTTGGAGTTTCCAGTTTGTATATCTTTGTGGGAAAAAAAGTTAGATAATTTAGATAATATTTAAAATAACCGCCCAGAGGTGTTTCATGATTGCAGTTGAGACTTGCTTCTGATTTTGAATTACACTAAGAAGTCCTGTTCCCTGTGACGTTTCCAAAGTATCTCTGTTATTGGCCAAGCTTGGCCATTTTCTTTTCAATTATATATATATAGAAATGCATTTTCAGCTTCTATACAGCTTTTGAGGGTATACATGACAGTGACTGAATGTTCTCTATGTGCTACAAAAACTAGCACAGATTCAGCACATCGTCTTAAGATGAGTATATAGCCATGAGTGGTAATTCATTGGTGGAGTTCAAAGATGTTCCCTTGGCCAAACTGAATGCACAGTACAGTAAAATCTTGCCAGAGTCTACCCAGGGAAACCCTCCCAGGTGGACAAAGCATCTGCAAGTACCAGTATCTCAGCTGGCTCATTTGGTGTCAACCTTTGTGATGTCACAAAGGTGACCATGTCCTTAGTCAAAAGTTTGGTTGATGTAGGATGAATTTAATGAGTTTCTGAGCAGTCAACTCGACCTGTGGACATTGTACCCACCTGTTTGGATTGCACCCTGAATTCAAAATGACACCAGATGTAATTTTTTTTCAGTGTTTGTGTTCTGCTTATAAAGTAGTGGATTCAGATATTTCAAAGCTATATATAAAAACCTCATAAAAAAGTCAAAAAGACCAGCAGAGTATCTGTTGGAAAAGGTAGAAAATCCTAGGCATGTCCGTATTATTTTGCTGGTCAGAGGAAAGAGAAGAAGAGAGACTTCTCGCCCTGTGCCATTCTAACAGTTGATGGGGACAAAACCAGCTGGGCTTGACTTTTGTCTGTAGTCAGGTGCTAGGTGCACGGCTTTCAATCACAGCAGGGCTATTTGACAGTCACAAAGTTTACAACAATTAAAGACAGTACTATACTGCTAGCATGCCAGTGAGGCCATCGTTCCTAATCAGGAGTCAACAGGAGCCAATCAGGACTAATTAGAGACAATTTTCTCTGCAGCTAGAAGTGTCTCCCAACGGCAATGTCACACAAGCAGCCAGCCTTCTTTATGCATAGAGCGTGGACTTGCTTACATTGATTAAAACAGCTCTCTGATCCCTTGTTTGTGCTGATTGATTGGTCCCTTCACACAGCTCCAAAATGTTCTGAAAAAAGCTTTATTTTTCATACAAAGGAAACTACAAATTACATGCTTTGTGACAGAAAAAACGAGAGGAGTGTGAATAGAGTTAGGGTCCACAGGCAGGATTTTCCTCCTCTTTGCAATGTGTAAGCACAAAACAGCACAACACTCACCTGTAATTTTAAACATGAAACAATTTTATCAGGTTCTGATGTTTATTTTATTTTACTCTGCTTTTAAAAGTTAATTTAATTGTTAAATTGTGAAAAACTGCTAAAATAGAAAAATAATTCTTGTAAATTCATTTACTTCCCTCTGAACGCAACTTTCTGTTTGACATAGTAATTAATCGTGACAACCTCAACTCAAGTACAGGTTAATTTAAAGGTGTGTTCAAGGCTCCACTCTATTTGTAGGTAGCTGGTGTAACTGGTAACTAAAGCAGCTGTGATTTAAACATCTTTTAAAGACAGTGTGAGCAAAAATTCATTTTACATGCTCAAAATATTATCGGTCACATGGAATTTGCATATTCTGTACTCCATGATCGGCATGTGTGCTTCTGTAAAGAGATAATGGAGCTTATTAGATAAGCACAAGCACACATTCATTATTAATGGGTTTTCTAGTCCAGTTCCTCTCACCACTAACAGGTTCAGATTCTGAACAGTCCACAATATGGCTCTAAAACTGGAGCCATATTGTGTGTGTGTGTGTGTGTGTGTGTGTGTGTGTGTCTGTGTGTGTGTGTGTGTGTGTGTGTGTGTGTGTGTGTGTGTGTGCGTGCGTGTGCGTGCTTATGAGCAGAGATTTAGCTGTTTAGCAGATATTTAACCGTTTCCGTTCTTGCACACACATAACTTATAAACTATTGTCCCTCCAGGCTAGTTCTTACTGAGCACACACAGTCTGACTAGCCTATTGGTTAGGCCAGCCAAAGCGTGTATGAGTAGGACAAATAATACTTCAACCCCCTCACAACTCGCACGTGTCTTTTTCGGTTACCCCCTGATGCCCATGGGAGCTCAGCTGTTGCCTGGGAGCTAAAGCCTTTGCCTGCTGCCTGGCACACGTCTGTGTTCTCTCGGGCTGCCATGTAGTGTGCTGGAGCAGAAGTCCCAGCAAATGTCCCAGCAGATGGAGTTATATGTGTGAGAGAGTGCATGTTTGTGTGTGTGTTTTAATTATTATTAATATTTTTACTATTATTTGTAATATTATTTTGCCTTTGACACAGCTGCCAGATAAAGAAAGCATTTCCTTCCCTCAGGCCTGCCAGTGACTTCATGTTCTCCAGCAATTAAGTCTCCTCACATGTTGGCACTACTCTTCAACAGTGGGGGTTCACCCACAGAAAGCTGCAGCCACAGATTTTACAGATCAATATCGATGGAAACAAACGTGTAACTTGGTGTTCCTGAACCACACATTTGTTTGTTCTTATTTATCCACTGTATATTTTTGAGATTTGGGAAGGATAACCAACATAAATAGATGGTAGCTTTGGTTGTGGTTCAAAAACAAAAAACTGTGAGAAAGGTTCATACAGTATTTGAGATAGCCTGCCAACATGACTGCTTTTACAACTTAATGAAACAAGTAAAGCTGACATGCTCATCAACATTCAAGTTTATCAGATCTGTGTTGTCTACAGTGTGGCTTCCAGTAAACTCACAAGAATGCTAAAATCTTTCAGTGTGTTGGCTGTTTTAATTCAATTCAATTGTATTTATATAGCGCCACATCACAACAACAGTCGCCTCAAGGTGCTTTATATTGTACAGTAGATCGTACAATAATAGATTCAGAGAAAACCCAAAAATCATATGACGCCTATGAGCAAGCACTTTGGCGACAGTGGGAAGGAAAAACTCCCTTTTAACAGGAAGAAACCTCCGGCTGAACCAGGCTCAGGGAGGGGCGGGGCCATTGCTGCGACCGGTTGGGGTGAGAGAAAGAAGACAGGATAAAGACATGCTGTGGAAGAGAGACAGAGATTAATAATACGTATGATTCAATGCAGAGAGGTCTGTTAACACATAGTGAGTGAGAAAGGTGACTGGAAAGGAAAAAAACTCAGTGCATCATGGGAATCCCCCAGCAGCCTATGTCTATTGCAGCATAACTAAGGGAGGATTCAGGGTCACCTGGTCCAGCCCTAACTATATGCTTTACCAAAAAGGAAAGTTTTAAGCCTAATCTTAAAAGTAGAGATAGTGTCTGTCTCCCGAATCCAAACTGGAAGCTGGTTCCACAGAAGAGGGGCCTGAAAACTGAAGGCTCTGCCTCCCATTCTACTTTTAAATACTCTAGGAACAACAAGTAAGCCTGCAGTGCGAGAGCGAAGTGCTCTAATAGGGTGATATGGTACTACAAGGTCATTAAGATAAGATGGGGCCTTACTATTTAAGACCTTGCATGTGAAGAGCAGGATTTTGAATTCAATTCTGGATTTGACAGGAAGCCAATGAAGGGAAGCCAATACAGGAGAAATCTGCTGTCTTTTAGGTTTAGTTTTTAGGACTTCCTGATAATAATCAGAATCAGAATCAGAATCAGAAACTTTATTGTCATTGTCATGAGAACAACGAAATTAAGAATGGTCCCCGATCATTGCATCATCCCTAGCAATATCAAAATATAAATAAAACAATAAAATTCAATAAATAAAATAGATAGAATACTTAAAATACTAATAAGATATAACAGTAAAACATTCACATACATTCCCACACACATGCTTCAGACCGTGCATAGATTAACACAAGAGTGGCGTGATGGACATTTTTTTGTAGTATTCAGATGTGTTATTGCAGTTGGATAACAGCTGTGTTTGAGTCTATTAGTCCTTGCTCTGATTGCCCTGTACCGTCTGCCTGAGGGCAACAGTTCGAACAGGGAGTGGCCAGGATGTGAGGTGTCTTTTATGATGTTTTGGGCCTTTTTAAAACAGTGGGCGTTGTGTAGAACTTCCAGTGTGGGGAGAGGGCAGCCAGTGATCTTTTGGGCGGTGTTAATGATCCCTTGGAGTGCTTTCCTCTGAGCCCCTGTGCAGCTAGTGTACCAGATGCATATGCAGTAAGTTAGAACACTCTCAATGGTGGCTCTGTAGAAGGACACCAGCAGTCTCTGTGTGATGTTATTCCTCCTGAGAATTCTCAGGAAGTACAGTCTCTGTTGGGCCTTTTTCAGCAGCTCGGAGGTGTTCACACTCCAGGAAAGGTTCTCCTCTATATTGACTCCCAGGAAGCGGAAGCTTGCCACCCTTTCTACACAGTCCCCATTTATGAATAGTGGTTGGATCTCTGCCTTTTTCCTTCTGAAGTCTATTATGAGTTCTTTGGTTTTTGAAGTGTTGAGGAGGAGGTTATTGGCCTTACACCATGACGTCAGCTGCTCCACCTCGTCTCTGTACGTAGACTCGTCTCCCTTGGAAATGAGCCCCACCACTGTGGTGTCATCTGCAAATTTCACAAAGATGTTGCTGTGGTGGCGAGGAGGGCAGTCGTGTGTGTAGAGAGAGTAGAGCAGTGGACTGAGCACACAGCCCTGGGGTGAGCCAGTGCTGAGACTCAGGGCTGAGGATGTGTGATGGCCAACTCTGACTCTCTGTCTACGGCCCGAGAGGAAGCTATTGATCCACATGCACATGTAATGAATTACAGTAGTCCAGCCTGGAAGTAATAAATGCATGAACTAGTTTTTCAGCGTCACTCTGAGACAGGATATTTCTAACTTTAGAGATGTTGCACAAATGGAAGAACGCAGTCTTACATATTTGTTTAATATGTGCGTTGAAGGACATGTCCTGGTCCAAAATGACTCCAAGGTTCCTCACAGCGTTACTGGAGGCCAAGGTAATGCCATCCAGAGTAAGAATCTGGTTAGATACCATATTTCTAAAATTTTCAGGGCCGAGTACAATAACCTCAGTTTGATCTGAATTAAGTCTTTATGTCTTTAAGACATTCCCGCAGTTTAACTAATTGGTGTGTGTTATCTGGCTTCATGGACAGATAGAGCTGGGTGTCATCTGCATAGCAGTGAAAATGTATGCTATGTCTTCTAATGATGCTGCCTAAGGGAAGCATGTATAATGTAAACAGAATTGGTCCTAGCACTGAACCCTGTGGAACTCCATAATTAACCTCAGTGTGTGAAGAGGACTCTCCATTTACATGCACAAACTGGAGTCTATTAGATAGATATGATACAAACCACTGCAGTGCAGTACCTGTAACACCTACAGCATGTTCTAATCGCGCTAATAGGATATTATGGTCAACAGTATCGAACGCTCCACTGGGGTCTAGCAGGACAAGCGCAGAGATGAGTCCACTGTCAGAGGCTATAGGAATGTCTTTAATGAATATCAGTGGTACTGAAAGTAGCTGTAGATAATATTACATCTGTGGGATGACTATTGGTATTTTTTTTCTCTAATGATTAAAATTTTATTTGTGAAGAAGTTCATGAAGTCATTACTAGTTAACGTTAGGCATGGTTGGCTTAACAGAGCTCTGACTGTTTGTCAGCCTGGCTACAGTGCTGAAGAGAAACCTGGGGTTGTTCTTATTTTCTTCAATCAGTGATGAATAGTAAGATGTTCTGGCTTTGCGGAGAGCTTTCTTATAAAGCAGCAAACTATTTCTCCAGGCTAAATGATGGTCGTCTAAATTTGTGACACGCCATTTCCTCTCCAGCTTACGAGTCATCTGCTTTAGGCTACATGTTTGAGAATTATACCACGGAGTCAGGTACTTCTGATTTGAGGCCTTATTTTTCAGAGGAGCTACAGTATCCAGAGTCGTACGTAGTGAGGAGGTAAAATTATTAACAAGATAATTGACCTCTGTTGGAGTAGTGTTCAGATAGCTGCTCTGCTCTGTGTTGGTACAGGGCATTGAAGATGATAACAGTGGGTGGATTATATTCTTAAATTTAGTTACAGCGCTTTCAGAAAGACATCTACTGTGATAAAGTCTACTCTCCACCGCTGTGTAATCAATTATTGTAAATGTAAATGTTATCAGGAAATGATCAGACAGGAGAGGGTTTTCAGGAAACACTGTTAAATGTTCAGTTTCTATGCCATATGTTGAAACAAGATCTAGAGTGTGATTAAAGTGGTGGGTGGGTTCTTTTACATTTTGAGAGAAGCCAATTGAGTCTAATAACAGATTAAATGCCATGTTGAGGCTTTCTTTTCGTAAGAAAAGCAACTGCAGTCTGAATTTGCAAAGGTTATCGCATTTAGGTTAAAGTGAAACATCTCTGTCATGATAGGAATAGTCTTTTCTGGATTAACTGTCTAATCCAACCCAATATCAAAGCAGAGCATGTAATAAACATGCTGGTCCACCCTGTCCATTTCATACTTTCCCTGTCCAAAGTGAAAAATGGGCATTTAAGCAGATGTTGCAGTACCAGCAGGGGGAGATAATATATTTAAAGCCACAAAGTCGCTAGTGACCAAAGGAGGAATTAAATGCATTCCAGGGTGCGTCTATGCCAGAAGCATTTAAGCTAGATGGCTAATTTGTATTTACATGTAAATGTGTTAATAATATATATTTAAACGCTTTCCCCTGATTATTTTCATGTTGGCTTGAAAAAAAAATGTGTCCCTCTGCTGTTGCTGCAACTTGCAACTGATCTTTTCCTAAGTTTAACCAAACGTTGAATGAAATCCAGTGAAACTGAAATGTAAAATTACTGCAAAGGAAGGATTCAACCTCAAAGACTATAAGCCTGGCAACCTGAGCTGTGAACAACCCTACACACCAAGCAGCCAGTTCAAGAGAGTTACATTTGGAAGACACACTTTCCAGTTTAGTTTCAGGTGCAAATATAGAAAGAATGAAATCACAATAATTGTTGTAATTAATGTTGAAAATAGCATTTTATGCAATAAAATGGGGGGTGGGGGTTACAAAAACGTCCTAAAAAAGGTTTGCAAGAGTTTGAGAAGCACATTTGTGTAGCAGCCCAGAAACTATCAAGCCATGTGAGAGTTTTTTAGTTCTCCAAGTGAAATTTATTTTAAAAAATGTTATTATTTTTCCCAGAGTGATGACAGTGTCACTAATGTTGCTATAGTCTCCTGCAATTCCAGGAATCAGTTTGGTGTCAGACAAAAATATACAAAGACCATGGACAGTATTTTGTATTTGAGCTTATAGTGTGTGTGTGTGTGTGTGTGTGTGTGTGTGTGTGTGTGTGTGTGTGTGTGTGTGTGTGTGTGTGTGTGTGTGTGTGTTGCACTTTTTAACAGAAAATTATCTTTGGTTTCAACTTTACATATCTGTCTGAGCATGTGCATGATTGTTGTTCTGTGTGCACAGTTGTGTTTGCATGTATCTGTGGGTTTGTGTCTAACAGTGTGAGAGACAGAGTTCATAGCTGAGTAGTCATGTAGGCCAGCCCCACTGTAAGTGCTCTGGGGGCTGGAGGAGTGGAGGCAGCGTGGCTGACCTGCATTCTATAGAAAAAGCCATTGTGCTAGCAGAGACTGAGACATTCAGCCTGTCTCATTGGCCTGGACTAAAGTGGGGTGGAACAATCCAGAACAGGGATCCAGCACCTCCAGTTAGTGAGCATTAAATCTGTTAGGCAGGTTAATCCATATTACCGTCTGTGTGAATAGGTAAATCTTCATGTGCTGCAGCCTGGTGTTTCTTTCAGTGATGGCATTGAGATACTTGCTCAATAATAAGAGCATAACAAACAGCTCACTTACAACCTCAAAAAAATCCTTTTTCCTGCTTAACCCTGTGATGCACTCAAGGTGAAGATGTAAAGTTGCATTCAAGGTACTTTGGTGTCTTGCTGGAGATACAGAGCTGAACATAAATTATCTTTTTTTAAGTGATGGGTCATTTCAGTAGCAACTTTCCAAACAGCTCAATAAATTAAAAGTCATGCAAACAATTTTTATACGGTTCATCACAAAATGTGTCCACTAGTTAAATGTACAAGTGAAGTATACTAAGTATACTTTGTATGCTATACTATAAGTATACTATAATAAGTATACTATACTTTTGTGTCATTCAAAGGTTGTATGAAAAGATGTGATAGACAGTTTATTGTAGGCTAAATTGGTTGGTTTGCAGTAGTGTGGTGCAGTTTACAGTGATGCATATTGTTGGACTGTACGGAGCAAAATGTAATATTTGTGTTAGGTTACTTCAAGGAGAGCAGACATTGATTTAAACTAAAAGTAAAGATGATGATACAGAATTGATTCTCTCACCAAATTTGACCTTTTATACATCTTAAAAATTAACCCATTCAACAGTCATATGGATTAACCTGCCTAAGAGATTGAATTGCTCACTAACAGGAGGTGCTGGATCCCTACACGTTTTAAGTGCTACATCCAGATGAACAGAATGAACTTTTTGGGATTTCCATATCTGGATGATTGAGCATGCATCAAGATTGTTTACTGCTACACCGTTGGAGGTCCCTAAGTTTGTTCTTAGAGTTCCTCCCATATGCCAAATCCCATGTTAATCCTTGTCTGTACCTCTGTTTCTTTTCTAATGCAGATCCAGATGATACCTCGACATTTGTAACTGGCATTGCTCTGTACAGAAACCTGGGCAGCATTCTCAATCTGCAGAGGTAAGACTTCTCAAGGCTGCTTCTGAAAGAAGTGGGATTTGGGGAGGTGGATTTCAGACAGGGAATTTGATAATGGGTTTGCATGAATGCAACAGAATGTTTTATACCAATGAACCAGGGATACTGGGTTTCACAAAAAAAAGACTTTCCATGTGTCAGTATAGATATGACTTTGTGATAGAGGTTGTGGTGGCACAGAAGTTGTCATGAAATCCATTCATCTCAGAATTCCTTTTTTTTTGTTTCATCTGTCTTTTCTTATTCCTCGAGTTTTTGGTTGTATGTAATGGTTTTGTTCAGCATATTCATTTTGTAGTTATCATGAAGGCAGAAAATAATGATTATTAATAAATAATAATTATCAGTTAATGAAAAATGCTTATTTAGCCTAGGGTCAGAATGGGTCTCCATGCGCATTACTATGGGATTTTGTTTTTTCTTTAGGGAACACTTACATTTGATTTAAATGAGTCTGTCAGTGAAGTCACTTGAAGACATGCACTGGACTTTGTATCCAAAAAATTTTTGTTATACTACTAGTGTTTCTAGGGGTGTTAAGTGGGTTTGTCTGTTCACCACTTTGTTATAGACTAAAGACATATCCAAATTCATGTAAAAAAAAACCCCAAACATTTAAAGTTAAAAATTCTCAGCAATCTTCTGTTTTTTTTTTTCATTCTTCAACATATAGATTTAGGGTTCAGGTTAAGGTGTTAAGACCACATAGGCTTAACAGAAAAGGGTCAGGTTATTAGCAGTGATGGAGATTGGACTCTGTGTATGATCATTTTTCTCAATTTCTACCTGTTAAGGCACAAATCAAATCCTGGAATATTCCAGCTAAAACGGGCTCTGCAGAGTTTGATTTAGTTTACGGAACTCTGGTATGGAAGAGGCAGAAAGACACTCATTGCATTAATTGCACCATAATTTTCTTTCATACTGTGATGCAAACACATAGCTATTTCAGTGAAACATCCTTGACACAGGTTACCCACGTGGCCAAATTTCCTGAAGGGAAATTTGCCAGTGAAGAATAATAGCTTCTCTGGCCACTAAAAACTGCAACAGTGTGGAGGATAAATGGTTAATTTATCTCAGGTGTCATACACTGAGCTGTAAGGTAACAACAGAATCAAGTGGAATTAAACATTTGTCTGAAGTCAGTTCTGTCCTTAATAGAGTTAGTCCAATCTTCAAAAGTTATAAGATAAACTCTCCTAGTATATGTTGCTAGAACTCCCTATCAAGAATTCCTCTGGTCAGCGATGGCCAGTAAAGCTTAAGTTATCAAAAGTGTAGAAAGGTATTCTGAATTAATCCAACTGCTTTAGTATTATAGCCACGCAGTGCACACACACCATTTAACAACAATGCTCAAGACGTTTAACCATGTTCCAATGCAGCAAAACTGTGCTGCCAGGCCTTTTAGCATCAGCTGCAACAGTAAGCACTTCTAGCTAAATGAATGCAAGGAATAAATGTAGGAGTACTATTCTCGCAGTGGGTGGCCCCATGTACGTCTTGTTTTTGGGGTAAAGGCATATCTTGGGGGGAAGTTGCAGTTGCTGGTAGCATGATGATTTACATTTGTTTTAATAGAAACAGCCTGCAGTAACGTTGAGAAGGAGTAATGTATTATGATAATATGCTAAAAACACATGAATTGATAAAATAAGAGAAAAATCAAGCAGACCCTCACCATCTGAGATCTATATTTCCGCTCTTCTTCACTCTTCTTTTTCTCCCAATTTTATCTTTGTCTCTACTCCTTTTCTGTTTTTGATGCCTCTCTAAAAGAAAATGAGAGAAGTTTGAAGCGAGAGACTAGGTGACACAAAAGTTTAAGATGAGTGATTGTGTTTTCAAATGGTGAGAGGGTGATTGTGTGTTGTGGATACAGTGATGATGTGAATAATCAGGAAACAGAGCACGGGCTGTTGAACATGATTGGCCAACTGGAAGCTTTCGATGTCAGTTCTACCAGTAGCTATTCACTTTTTTCTGATTGTCTGATTCCACATGATTGATAGTAGCTATGGAAAAACAGAAATAGCAATGCATACTAAGCAGGGATACAGAATTTAAAATAAAATGTCTCAAATGTTATAAGATACTGATAGACAATGTGCTTCAGTTACTGGAAAAGAAGGATTACTGGATCCATTTGTTCTGAAGTAGAGCACAAAGATTCTGGCAAGTGGCTGTAAAACGACTGAAGCAGAAATGTGGTACTTATCATCCTGTTGATTAAGAAATCATGACTGGTCTGGATCTCATAAAAAATACAACTGAACACAAACTATCAGTATTTAAATGAACTCTAAGTGGCCTAGCTTTTTGTGGCAGCTACATAATATTTGCTAAACTAAGGATAATGTCAATATGTCCTTTCAAATTTCATTTGAACAACAGCCTTCAATATGACTTTGTCATCTGTGGATGCTATTATTGGCAGCATATTCCCCAAGTGGCCTTAAAGATATCAGGACTGTGAACTTAATCAGGATCAAGGACATCATTTTAGCTAGCTTAAAGTCAAGTGTCATTTGATGTTCGATGAAATCAAAGAACTGGAGTCAGTAAGACCAGTGATCTTCCAGATAGCAATTCATCCGTTTGTCTATGCTAAATTAGTTTTCTCAATTTTCAGTGTTGAAATGCACTTCTGTGTTTGTAGGGCTATGTTTCCTCCATACATCTATTTATATTTTGTTTGTCTAGACATTCCGAGGAATCTTCTGCCCTCTGTCACACCCACTTTGGGATGAATTAGATGAATTACATGCATTCATGTGTAGCATCTCCCAGTTGTATTAGCTTTAATTTCCAGGGTTTTGTTTTGTTTTATGTATATTAAATTAGTTGTCAGTTTACCACTTTTATAATGAAATATTTTTATAGAAGAATCCATTTCATATATTAGATACTTCAGACAAAACATTGGTGTGCTTTCATCTACATCTGAGTATCTTGAAATTTTGGGTGCATTTCCACTGCAGTATAGATTGTCAGTTAAAGGTGACAGTGCTGCCTTTTCTCTTCTTGTAGAAACAGCACAGTCCTCAATTCCAGGGTATTGTCAGTGACCATCAAGCCCACCCCTGCTTCCCTCACTGTTCCATTTGTGGTTGAGTTCTCTCACCTTTATAACGTGAGTAAAAAATCAACTTTTTACAGCTATAAAGCTGCTGCAACTGATCCTCTTTCATAACCATGTGGTTTTTCTGTTCTCCATTTATGTAGGGCACCACCAACCACACCTGTATATCCTGGGATGAGAGTGACAGGTAAGGCCCATGATATTTCTGATATGACATTTGACAGCACACACAGACGTATTAATTAATATTAATCAAATAATAATTAAATATTAATGAATTCTTTGTGGCATGGATTCAGTAGGACGTGTAGGACATTTCAGATGTCATGCAATTTAATTCCTGAGAGATTTGGGGCCATATTGAAATTAGAGCATTAGGCAGTTGCTGAAGATTTTCAGCTGCACATCCATGATGCATTCCACCACAACCAAAGATGCTCTATGATCTAGTTACTGTGGAGGCTATTTGAGAACAGTGAACTCACCGTTGTGTTCAAGAAAGCAGTTTGAGACAATTTAGCTTTGTAGCCCCAGTTTGCTTTGTGGCATCTGGTGTTGCTCATCTGCTTCAGGGTTTTACATGCATCAGAGATGCTCTTATGCATATCTTTGTTGTAATGAGTGGTTATTATTGCCTTCTTTCCAGCTCAAAGCAGTCTGTCCCTTCTAATTTGATCTCTGACATCAAAAAGCCATTTTTCAGCAGAAACTAACACTCATTGGATACTATCCCAGTAGATAAGCAGTTTCTGAAATAATCAGACCAGCCCTCTGGCACCAACAACCATACCATATTCAATGTCACCTGAATCGCCCTTCTTGGTTTGAACTCCCACAGATCTATAGGCCTAAATTCAGAGTCCATGCTCTGAGATACTTGTGTTAAACAGCAGCTGAACAGTACTTAACACATTGGCTGGTTATTGTATGTATACACCTATATATGTGAATATTTTTTATGGTGAAGCTTTAAGATAATCTGAAGCTAAAGAAGAAGAATATCCATCCATCTCCCCCCCCCAACCCAAGGGAGGTACTCTGGGGAAATAATGACCAAAATGAACAATTATGTCATTATTTACTAAGATCTTTTTTGTTTTTTAATGTTATTCTGTGATTGCTCAGGTCTTTTCACTAACCACATGGACCCTCTGTTTCCATTTCTTTGACACATTTTACCACAGCTAACAGTGACAAGTTATCATAAATTTTACTATATTTCTGAAAATCTCTACTATACTCCAACTTTTAATCCATATCTGGGAAACGTAGGCTTTGGTGAATGATTTAGAGCCCAGAATGTGAACGTTGCGCATTGTTTGCATATTATTATTATTATTAAAAACTAATTAAAAAAACAAACTGCATCACCCAGTTACAAGCTATGCCATGTATTAAAATCAGACCCGCATGCATAGTAATACATGGCACCTAAGTCAAGTCATTAGAGAGGCCATGCTCCCTCTGAAGTTCTTTGGCTAGGCACAGTGTTTTTAATCTTGACAAAGTCAGTGAGCTGCTCCCCAGTGGAAGGTGCTGAGTATGCTGGACAGCTTGGTTGCTCTTGTCTGGGACAACATTAACCCAGTGCTATCACTGCTACGACACTGATGTAGCGTGTGGAAAATTAAAAGTGTCGCTCACTGCTTTCCTCCCTCTCGCAACCCACGCACAGTTATCAACATGAACGATAGTGAGCAGCTCAGAGTCTACTGAGAGAGGAGAGAGTGTGGAGGAAAGAGAACGAATAAAAGATACATATTGAACAGTTCGGTTTTACAACCTCTACGGGCAGATTCAAAGCAGTACTCATTTGTTCCTTGTCTTAAATGCCCTATTTGTTTAAGACTGGAAAATACAAAGAAACTATGTGAGCACTGAAAGACAGATGCGGACAGGGAGGAGGAAAGAGTCGAACATTTTGTAGCCTTATTGCAATGCAGGTTTGGATATTTGCATTTAGATGGGTGTATAAACTTGTGTTACAGAGACAGAGAGCAGAACATTCATCGCCTCAGTCAAGGGATAAAAATAATTTTGGTTTGGTGTGTAGAAACCTGGGGCAAAATAAACACGAAAGCACACGCAGATTATTTTGCCAAGTCTTATTCCCAAACCGATTTTAAAGGAAAGTATACATATTAATATGACGGTATTTTGCAATAATTTTCTGAACAGCTTCTTAAATTGATTATTTCCCCTGCCAAAAAAAGACATTTTCAGTTCATGGAAACAACTTTTCTTATTAAAATAATCCTGCTTCTTTCTCTAAATAATTGTATTTTTATGCACGAAAGTCAGTGCCTCCTGTGCAGAATTTCTGTTCCCAGTTTTCACACAGCCCTGAAACTAAATTTGTTTAGGCCAAATTCTTATGTTATGAATGCAAGCTTTAATGTGATAAATAGTGGTACATTTTTATCTGTCTAATATCTACTCAAAACCAGCATCTATAAGAGTTTTATTTTGACCAAACTGATCATAATCACCTCGTAGATATCGCCATATTCAGCAAGCTTAAATGACGACAGAGACAAAAGCAGGAACACAGAAAGGACAAAAGAATCCAATCTTGTGGTGTTTGGGTGCGGGGTTGGGGGAAGAAACGTTCTATGCGAAATTAAAATCTATCTAGGACAGGAGCTATGATTAATGACTTAATATTTGGGAGAGAAATTGGAATATGAGGAGACGTCCTTGTCATGTTGATAAGAGCGTTGAAGCTGCCTGGGCCTTCACTTGCATCAGGCTTCAATCTCCTGGAATCAATAACAAGAACATCAGCAGTCTCTGTCTCCCTGTCTCACACATGTTGGCATTAATACTACTTTGTTTACAGTATATGTTTTCCTGATGTGCTATAAATACTAAATATTAATTGGCATCAGAATAATATTGCCGTGAATGGCAGCTCAGACACTCTGCCAGTGATACACACTGTTCACTGTATTCTCCTGTTTGTATAGCTTTTCTATAAAGTGGAGTGGGGCAGGTGGACTTTCAAAAAAAAAACTGAGCATCTTCTTTGTCAATTAAAATTATTATTTTCTTTGTTCTTTGGCTTTCAAGACCCTGGAGAGCATTTAATTAAAAATGAAAAGGCATTACTTATTTTCTTATTGCAATATCGCCATGCTTATTGTTATAGTGTTATTTTCTGGGGGAAGGATAAGAGTTAAAAGGTTGTTGGACCTCAGAGGGTTGAATAGGCTGGCCAACTGGGAGCGTACAAAAAAGGCATTGAGGAAGATACAAGTTTATCTGTCTGTATCTGAAAGCCCCACAGGATCTTTGCTCAGGCATTCTCTACCAATCTAACGAGCATATCCCATTTTGATCTCAGCACTTCCAAGCCATACTCATACTCTACTATGCCAGACGCTTGGTTATGGCATTCCATTTATGGCCCGCCTGCTCCAAACTTGCGTCTTATCGTTATGTGTGAGATTGTCCCAGGGGCGTCTCTGCACCGCATTCACCTGGGGTTCTGGTGTGGTAGATCCCAGCCTCTATGATTTTTGTGCTCAGAGCTTGTTCCTTTGATGCATGATTAGTGGCTCAGCTATATTTCAGTCCACCTTTGTCTAGTCACTAGTAGGATTTCTCAATATCAGCCACTTCTTCTGTCTGCCGGTGTTAAATACTGTGCAGGGGCCAGTCCTTCTATGATTGCAGGGGCCAGTCCTTCTATGATGGTTCCTCTTCTCTTTTTGGTTTCTGCTACCTGAGATATTCATTAAGTATATTGTCTTGATGTAAGTGGCTTCCTATCTCTTCCTTTGGCCAGCTTATTATCCCAGCAGGGTATCTCATCACCGGCCTCTTCATGGTTCCCATTTGCCTATGGGATTCCCAGGTATCTGTAGCTGTCATCAATGTCTCCAGTGTTTCCTTCGGGTATTGCAATCCCCTCAGTTCTGACTACCTTCCCTGTCTTTGTTACCATACGACTACACTTCTCCAGTCCCAGTGACATTCCCTTCTGTAGATCCTAGTGGATCAGTGAAGGTGACTGATGATTGCTCTATTCCGCAGTTGGTATCCATAGCCAGGCTTGTCAGTGGTTTCACTGAGGGGTTTCAGGCCATTATAGAAAAGCAATGGGAACAGAGCATCCTTTTGGTAGATCTGCACTTGATAGTGACTTTTGCAACTGGCCAAAGTTGGCCTTTAGTGTTTTTTGCTACATCCCCATGAGTTCTTGATAAAGGCTCTTAGGGTCATGTTGATCTTTTATAATTCTAGGCATTGCATGAGTCATAGGCTCTTTTTTTAGTCAATCCAGGCAGTGCACAGGGGACAGAGAGAGAGAGAGATTTATCTACAAGGAAACTGTCTTTCGTAGGGTTATGTGTTATTGTGTGCCACACAGTAAGCTTATTTCCTGAGCGTTTTCTGACAGTCAGAACTTCATCCCACATGTGAATGTTGTGGGTTTCAATTGGCTTGTTAGAAGTTTGCAGAGGCGTTGAGTGAGAAAAGTGTCTTTTCACTGTCAACCAGATTTAGAGGAAACATCTTTTTCAAGATATCTTTGCAATGACCTGTGAAGGCAGCTTTCCAGCTTTCAATTTCCCACCAAATCTCAATTTTGCTTTGAGAAGTCAACAGTCTTTCAGTGTCTTTTCACAGAAGTTTTGCCTGAGAGGGAAATAGGTTGAAAAAAAACACGTGTCTAGTAGTCTACAGGGAGTGCAGAATTATTAGGCAAGTTGTATTTTTGAGGAATAATTTTATTATTGAACAACAACCATGTTCTCAATGAACCCAAAAAACTCATTAATATCAAAGCTGAATGTTTTTGGAAGTAGTTTGTAGTTTGTTTTTAGTTTTAGCTATTTTAGGGGGATATCTGTGTGTGCAGGTGACTATTACTGTGCATAATTATTAGGCAACTTAACAAAAAACGAATATATACCCATTTCAATTATTTATTTTTACCAGTGAAACCAATATAACATCTCCACATTCACAAATATACATTTCTGATATTCAAAAACAAAACAAAAACAAATCAGCGACCAATATAGCCACCTTTCTGTGCAAGGACACTCAAAAGCCTGCCATCCATGGATTCTGTCAGTGTTTTGATCTGGTCACCATCAACATTGCGTGCAGCAGCAACCACAGCCTCCCAGACACTGTTCAGAGAGGTGTACTGTTTTCCCTCCTTGTAAAGCTCACATT